ACGAGAGTCGCTTCGAGTTATTTTGAACACGAGAAGGTCGATGGGCAAACAAGCGACCAAGAATTGGCAAACCAAAGTTCAAAGAGAGTCTCATGGTTTGGGGGGCGATTAGTTCCAAAGGTAAAACATCATTGCTTATAATCAAGGACACTGTGAATAGTGAAAAGTACAAAGAAATACTTTCTGAAGCTGAGCCAACTCTAAAAAAATTTTTCCCAAGGAGTTTTACATTTCAACAGGATGGGGCAATGTGCAACACTTCAAAATCAGTTTCTGAATGGTTTACAGAACATAGATGGAAAGTTTCTTCCTGGCCCACTAATTCACTGGATCTAAACCCCAATGAAAATGTGTGTGTGTGTGTGTGTGGGGGGGGGGGGGGTAATGAAAAAAGCAGTGGAAAAGAAAAAACCAAAAAATTTAGATGATTTAAAGGTTGCAATTCAAGTAGTTTGGAACGGACTTTCCTTGGATTATTTGAAGCCATTAATTGACAGTATGAACCGTCGTGTTCAAAAATGCATAGAAGTCCAAGAACACATGACCAGATATTGATCAATATATTATTTTAAAAATAAGGCTTTACTCTTTATTTTCTATTAAAAAATTTTATTATTTATTTATTATTTTGAAAATAAAACTTAAAAAACTTGGTCTCATTTTTATTGTCCGGAAGGTATATATATATATATATATATATATATATATATATATATATATATATATATATATATATATATATATATATATATATTATATATATATATATAGACAACCCTCTGAATTAAGAAAAATGAGGTCAGCAATAATTTGCCAACCTTTTAGAGGTCGGCATCAGGCCGGCAAAAAAAAAAAAAAATGATACAAAGGTCTTACCATAAAACATAGAAACGAGGTCGGCAATATTTGCTGACCTCAAACACTTTTAGGTCAGCAGTTAGGTCGGCATTGCCGAATGCCGACCCTAATTCCGAGGGTTGATATATATATATATATATATATATATATATATATATATATATATATATATATATGCAGTACCAATTAAAATAGTTTAAAGTACCCATGAGAAAGATATTTCCATAAAAATTATATATAGCTTTAATACATCCAACAAACAAAAAACTCACATAGGAGAAAACATTCTTTGTATTCTTCTTGAGCTTCACTTCAATGACAAAACAATAGGTCAGTTTAATTAAACTGATTAAATTTATCAAAAGGTATTAATAAAAATCAAATAAATATGGATGATTTTTAAATAGCTACATTCAGCTAACAATCAATAAAAGTTGGTGAAAGAAAAAATAAAACATAAAACTTATAATGCATTTAAAAAAATTTTATACAACACTACAAAAATATTACAATATTTATAATGCAGATCAGATAAATATAATGCTATTAAAAAACAGGTGAATTTCTTTCTTTTAAAAAAAATTGACTGTAAAATTTAAGACAAACCAAGACGCAAAAATGAAAAAATGGTAAAATATTTAAAACTTTTAACTGAATATAGAATGTCTAAAAAACTTGATTATAAAAATGAATGTTTATATAAGAATGAAAAATAAATAATCTTTATGCAAAACGCTCATAGCTGGCTGTTTGCTTGTCTTTTAAACCTATAATCCAAGATCATATAAAAATTATTACAACTGATTTTATAATTTATTTATAATTTACAGTAGAATGATAAAAACCAACAAACTTATTAAAAAAGTAAAAAAAATTTTAAAAAGTACATACAAAAATAAATTTACAAAAAAATTATATAAACCTCTATCATAATTTAAATTAAATAAGCCTTAAACACAATTTACAAAAATAAAATATCCATCTCAAAAAAGACACAAGAATGTATTCACAAACCGTATTTCAGCCGAATTTGATCGTGTTTAGCCTTCATTTCACTTTCCCTTCAAAATAAAAATTAGTCACCTAACTTAATTCACTGCTTAGACTATCAATCATTTGATATTAAGTTACCACCTTGCAAAAAAATAATAATTAAATTATGTGAAATACCTTTCAGAATGCCTTGCTTGTCTCTCTTCTTTCTCTCTTTGTTTACGGGCATCTTCTTTTGCCCACCTAAAAATTATATGCTGTGCTATAAAATTTTGAACACATAAAGTAAGTTAATGTCATCAATGACGTTTTGCTTAACTACATGAAAAGATGTGTAATATTTATTTAATATTTTATATTAAAACATTAAAGAAAAATAAAAGTAAAACATAATCTCAATCAGAAATTATAGACTTGGCAATCAATATATATATATATATATATATATATATATATATATATATATATATATATATATATATATATATATATATATATATATATATATATATATATATATATATATATATATATATAAATATATACAGTAGCGTCCGAAAGTTTGCGGACAGGCAAAAAAAAAAAAGAATTTTACTTATATATCAGCCAGAGTTGTTAACAAGGCCAAAAGTAGCAAGCCCAAGGTCAAGGCCACAAGTTAGAAGGCCACAAGTTAGAAGGTCAAGGCCAAAAGTTACAAAGCCAAGGACAAGGCCAAGAGTTTTGAGATCAAGACCTAGATTAAGAGTTTCAAGACCAAGACCAAGACGTACGCAAAGATTTTTAAGACTTAAGACTTTAATTTTTGCAATACATTAAGGCCAATTCTTCACAAAACTTTAAGTAGCAAGTGCTGTGAAATTGAAACCACATTTTGTAAAAATTGACCAACTTTATGTTCCAAATTCAACAAAATCAATAAAAAATACTAATTTTTTTTCAAGGCCAAGGCCAAAACAATCAAGGCCAAGGCCAAAATTTTCAAAGCCAATTCCATCCAGGCTAAAACATTCCTAAACCATTAAAATACCTCCTCCATGTTTTAAGGTAGGCAGTTGGTGTTTCATGCAACTAAAAAGATTTTTCGACCATTGTTGATTACTCCACTTTAAATGCTCTAATGCAAATTATTATTTTAAATTAATTTATTCCATAGAAACATCTCATTTGTACGTTTATATTGACAGCAGTCAAACGGGGATTTTTTTTGCTTAGTATCACGAGCTTTTTATCTTGATAATGCGTTGTTTTACATGGCTTTCCTGATTGATTTTTATTCTTTGTAGATCTAGTAAGCTTGTATCTTTTCATATTTTCTCTTACAGCAGACTTACTGACTCCATAAAGCTGTGCTATTTTACGAAACGAATTTTCATTTTGAACTGATCTCAAGATCAATTTTTTTACTGAAATGAGATACATTTCTTAGATTCCACAATCTCAATCACTTATAAAATATAGTTTGTAAATTTTTTCCACAAAGTATTTCTTTATAAAATCAACAAATTAACAATTTGTGGGGAAAATGATAAAAGCTTCAGTTCGTCTGCAAACTTTTGAACTTATCAATAATCATTATTTTGTAACCTGAAAACTTTTTAATTAGTATATAATAAGATGGCTCAAGTGAATATGCGCTGAAATATTAGTAAAATTTCATTTTTTTTATGCCTGTCCGCAAACTTTTGGACGCTACTCTCTCTCTCTCTCTCTCTCTCTCTCTATATATATATATATATATATATATATATATATATATATATATATATATATATATATATATATATACACATATATATATATATACATACACAGACACATAAGGGTGTCCCAAAAATATGAAAAAGAAAAAAAAAATGTATGCATCAAATTCTTTGTCTATACACTTATAGAAGACTAATAGTAATGAAAAAAGATTTATAAGACCACTCCAAGTGCTTACTGCAGAAATTTAAAAAAATGAATTTTATTAAATATTCAAAGCTTTTCTTAACTTAAATATTTATGTTGCATCTAAATAAAAACTTACTCTTTTAACAATTTTTATAGCTGTTGTTTTTCATAGTTTATGACATCTGTAATCTTTTTTTAAAAAACTGTTAGGTTTGTATTGGGACATGGTGGTAACTGATCAACTAGTAATATATTAACAAACTTTTCTTGATTACTGTTTTAAATATTAGGAAATTTTAAAAGGAATATATATTAATGTGTTTTTAAAACATTGATGATTTGGGTACTATTTGTTTTTTTTTTAGACTAACAGTTATTTTTAAATTATTGATTTTTGAATATGCCAACTTTATCTTATTTAAAATATCAACTTTTAAATATGTCAACTTTGAAAGCGGCAATCTTGATTACATTTTCAGAAAACATAAACAAATTTTAACCAATCATTTTTTTCTTATAAAAAAACAACTAATCGAATTGTTACTCTTGACAAAAGAATCTTTTGCGTGGTTTCGTTTTTAAAAATTATAAACAAATAAATACTTATTACAATTTCTTATCACAAATGGAGAAATTTAAACTCATGACGACCGCTTTACCTTCTCAGAAATTCAATTTCTATTTTTCCTTAACATCAACTTCCAACAAATGAAGCAGTTCTACAATATTATCAGCATGTTATTAGAAAAAAGTAAAAGGTTCAAGTCTACTCAAGAAAATTTTTCATGCAAAACAAAGAGTGGGAGTAGGAATATGGTTTGCCGTGAGAAAGATTTCTGTTATGAAATATGAAGATATGCTGCTTCAGAAAAATTGTTTATATATGGAAATATGCTGGATGTGGAAACTATATGATTTCTAAAGTACAAATTGCGCAAAAATTTATTAAATTAAATAAATAGTACATTTTTAATGCGAAATACAAATTATTTAGCCTGAAACACAATTGCCAAAAAAAAACAACAACAGGAGAATCAGGTTGAAGAAATCCTTGAAAATTTATTTGACATTTCTTAAAAAAAATATAGAAGCAAAAATTAAATCAGATAAAGGCATGTCAAGATCGAATGCTGCAGTGATAGAAGATATGGCTTTTCTTCAAGATCAAAGAGCATTGATGGAAGGTGTGATGAGTGAAAAGTATGACATTGTTATGAAACAAAGAGTTGAAATGAAAATTAAAAGCTACTAAAGCAGCAACGTATAAAGGCAGATTTTGATACCGATATACCAGTATGGACCCCCAAATTTTTGCCCAAACTCAATTTAAAACAATTTTATATTAGCCCCAAGTTTGTCATAAAAAAATTAAATAAAACAATTCTTTATTACTTATTGTCTTGCTATTTTGTAATAAAAATTTGTTATGATAATTATGATGATAAAATTTGTTATGATAATTAAAAAATTGTTATTAACGTCGTTTTGAAAAAGCAACATTTGAAAAACGACTTTGAAAAACATTTGAAAAATACATAAATGTATTCAATTAGAATGCTTAATTCAAATTTATGTGGATGAAATATGGAATATGTTGCAATTGGATTAAAATGTAAAACACACGTTTTGATTGGGTTAAAATATGAAACGCTTAGCATTTTATACTTTTAAATAAAAACATTAATTTTGTAAAAATACTCTTAATATGAGTCACTCTCCTCTGCTTACGTTTTCATAACTATAATTTACAATACAATTTTTTTTTTTTTTAAATATTTGCTAATTTATTTACTTAAAATTACAATAAATAAACAAAATAAAAAAACAAGTTGTGATCACATTACAGTTTATATTCTAACAACAGTAGATGTCAGACTGTAACCGCTTTTCACAGTACATGTCAGATTGTAACAGCTTAAACAGACTGTCACATTAAATTATATGAGCTTTAAACTTTTTTATTTCAAATAACAGCAAAATTGCATTTAAAATATTTTAAATAATAAAAGAAATAATAATTAATAATTAAAATAAAAACTTTTTCAAAACATAATAACATAATAATCATGCAAAAAACTTGATTTAAAAAGTAAGAGAAGAAAAACAAAAAAAGTTATTAACTTTTGAATGAATTTATTAAAACTTTGAATGAATTGACCTTAATATGCAATAAATACGCTATGCAATAAATTTTTTGAGTCCATATAAAAGAACATACAAATATTGTTTATTAAACAAGCCTTCCCAAAAAATGTGTGCGATTTTTTGATTTGCATGTCCATGCAAGAGTATTTTATTTTAGACAACTTGGTCACGGCCTTTTGCAAGTTTTATTATATGTGTTGCTAAAAAAAGTTTCAAAAACAAAGAAAACAAAATAGGAAATTAAAATAAACTTAAATAGAAAATAATAATTTAAATAATTTGTGTACTGTTTTTATTTTTGTTTCTTCATAGTGGTTTTAATTTTTGCCAACAAAATAAGTCAAAGCAAAAAAACAAAAACAAAAAAAAAACAAATCCAGTTTTAAACATTAAAAAGAATGATTTTATTTTATTTGTTTTTTTTTAAAGAAGAAAACAAAAAAAAAATTGTTACTTGTTTGTAAAATATATCTGTATAATTTTAATGTAACATATCAAGGGTTAAGTTAAGCAATCGCAATTTGCAAACTCTGGAAAAATATCTGGTCTTCAAATTTTTAGTTTATGAAAAGCTGTGTAATTTGTTTTCAATGACCAAATTATTATAACTTTGTTAACGAGAAAGTTATAAAAAACAAAACAAAAAAATAAACTCAAGACTACAAAAGTAATAACACTCTAGTCACTAGCTGCATTATAATAGTATTAAAACTTTTATAAAGTACTTATTACTTTTAAAGTTCATTTTTTGTTCAAACAACATTAGTAATTCCAAACAATAATTAGAGTAGAAAAACATCTAGAAAAAATAAAGCAGTCTAAATTTATTGTTTTATTTTTTATAACTTTTTTAGAAAATCATTCTTTTTATTGTAGACTTGAAACTGCTTTTTTTTTTTTTTTGCTTTGCCTTATCTAATCTTGTTGCTGAGTATAAACAAATCTAAAAAAACAAAAATGAAAACAGTACACAAATTATTTAAATTAATAATTTATTTTTATTTTTTTCTATTTAAATTTCTTTCTATTTCCTATTTTGTTAGTTTTGGTTCTTTTGTTTTTCAAACTTTTTCTGCAATGATTATTATAAAACTTGCAAACAGCCGTAATTAACTTGTCTAAAATAAAATACTATTGTGTGGTCATACAGGACTTCACTTTCTTATGAAATGTTTTAGTTAACGCTTCTCTCGCAAGAAGCAATAAGGAAATAAATTTGATTTTATTCTTTATATAAGTGAGCAAATAAAGTATGTAAATGAAAATTAGCGGGGAATCGATTTTGGCGCTAAAGCCATCATGTAGCAAAAAATGCAACATTTAATATAAGATAAGGATGCTACTTAATTGTGGTTATAACCCTCTCTCAACTCTATAACTCCAAAACACAAATCTTGAGGAACAAGGCTGCTGTGAGGAGAAACAAGTTGAGCGCAGTATTAATAGGGATGTGGCGGGGATTGAACTCGAAACCTCTCGCTTATGAAGCAAGCGCTCTACCACTACACCACTACCATATAAATTACCACATTATTTTAGTTAATTATTTATATTCTTATTTGGAAAAACGTTAAATACTAGGGCGAGGTATACTATATATAAATCTTTTATATACATATATATTTTTTTTTTTTAAAAAAAAGGGTCCTCTAAAGGAAGACGGATTTTTTTAGATTTTTTACTTCCAAAAAATTTCTGGATACGTCATTGTAAAGAATGAGATATGAAGAAAAATGCGTTTAAAGAAAAATGAGCTAATGAAAGTTTTAAATTGGATTGCAAAACTGATTTAGAAATGAATGAAGTGATCTCTTATGACTCAGATGAATCTGAGGCATAAGGTAAAGTATATTTTAATCTTTAATTCAAAAATTTTTAAATGATTATTTTTAAAAATGGTTTAATTTAAACCTTTATTCACTTTATTTAGTCATTAATGTTTTTCGTTACTTAGATTCTGCTACTCACCAGTCTTCAGTTGCTAGTGATGGTGATTTCGATTTTCCAATAAGTGATGAAAATCAGCTTCCAACACACATAGAGGTAAAGCGTTTAATAAAGGCAAGCTTCTATTAGCTACAACACCTGTTAGTGTTAGATATGTAATTAGCATTCACTTACAAACAATATTTCTAGGAGCTATTATTAAAGCTTTAGGGGAAAATGTTCATGATTTAAATATATCTAGAAGCTCAATAGCTAGATATAGATTTAAGTATTTCAAAGATTTAGGTAAATTTTCTTTACACTCAAAGTATTTATAATAAAATACAAAATAATGATTACAAAAAGGAAAAAAATCTTTTTTAATTTAGGAGCCACCATCAGATCAAGCCTTTATGAAGAAATGTTAGGAAAGAATTTGATCTTGCACTTTGACAGTATGATGGTAAAAGAAATAGAGGAAAAGTTAAAAATTACAGTTAAAAAGGAAAGGGTTGCGATATCTGTTACAAGTCCAGAATTTAATACAAAAGATGATCACAATTATAGCTGTATAGAGCACTAAAGGAAAAAGTCAAGCTATTGTTATTCAAGACATTTTTGAGTATTTTAAAATAGCTGATAAGATAATTGGAGTCTGTACTGATACAACATCAAGTAATACAGGTATTACTTGACAGGTATACTAAATGGAGCTATAATAATAACTAGTAGAATTATTATAGAATTATATGAAAGCAACAAGTTGATGAAGTATTTTTTGTACTATTTTCAACTAGACTTATATTCATAAAGAAATTTTAAATTTCATAATAAGATTTTTTAGTGTTCAAAAATTATGACCATATACTTTTGAACACTAAAATAAAAAGGGCGCAACAATATAAAATCAGTGCAATATCTACTTGAATTTCTCAAGCAAATTGGACACTCATTCAAACCTTCTACAAGTCTACAAGTTGTATACTATTAGCTACTTCTAAAGCGCTTGAAAGTTTGGCATGGTGGTCTTCTCCGAAAGCTTTTTTCTTACTGTGTATCTGGAAACAACTTTAAGATTATTGAATCCTTCTTTTCCAATCGTAGTATAAAAGTTGTCCTTGATGGACAGCATTCTTTTTCTTATTCTGTAACCTCAGGGGTTCCTTAAGGTTCAATCCTTGGCCCTATACTCTTTTTAATTTACATTAACAATCTTCCAGATATTCTCACATCTAAGGTGGCATTGTTCGCTGATGATACTACCATTTATTCTTGTCGTGATAAGAAGCCAACTCTCTCTGATTGCTTGGAAGGGCCATTTGAGCTTGAAAAAGATCTCACTTCTGCTACAGCACGGGGCTCACAGTGGCTAGTGAACTTTAATTCAGATAAAACTTAACTTTTTTCAGCCAATCCTTATCGTAATAATTTAGACCTTCCTATATTTACGAACGGTAATGTACTCGATGAGTCATCTACACTTCATCTTCTAGGATTAATTCTTACTTCTGATCTTTCTTGGAAACCATATATCAAACCCGTTGCAAAATTAACATCTGCTAAAGTTGCATCTCTTTATCGAGCTCGACACTTTCTTACTCTGGATTCTATTCTATATCTCTATAAATCTTAAATCCGGCCTTATATAGAATACTGTTGTCATATCTGGGTGCAAAAACACATTGTAAACATAGTTGGACCTGCTCTTGCAGCCAACCTTCAACCATTATCACATTGTCATAATGTTGCTTCTCTTTCTCTTTTCTACAAATACTATAATGGGCATTAATCTTAAGAGCTAGCGTCTCTTGTACTAAAATTCATTCTTGTGTTACTCGTCAATCAATTAAGTCTCATCCTTTTTCTGTGACAGTTGCTAAGTGCTCCAAAAACTCTTATTCCTCTAGTTTTTTCCTCAAACATCAGTTTTTTGGAATTCGCTTCCTTCATCTTGCTTTCCTGATTCATATAAGTTGCAATCTTTTAAGTTGTCCGTCAATCGTTATCTTGCTCTACAATCTCTATCTTTTCTCTTCCAGTAACTTTCAACACTAATTAGTGGTTGCTTGCAGCCTTGTTGGAAACCAAGATGTTTTAAAAATGCCATCCCATGACCACTAAATTAGCTCAAATCCAAACAGATTCCCATTTGTTGTGAACACTGTAAAGACCTCTACCTATTAATAATATTTTATTCAAAAATACCTCTGTATTCTTCATGATGTTGTCAGTGTCCTCTACCTATTATGAAACATTAAGAACTCTGCCGCCTTTTTAATACATAAATGACATCCTTTTTTTACCCGCATTTTCAGCAAATCTTTGTTTAATATTTAACAACAGATAAATTGTACAATTCATTACTTGTAATGCTATTCAATTTTAAATAAAGATTTATAAAATAAAAAATATATATTGAAAGAAAACATATATATAGCACACAAACAAAAACACACACAAAATATTTTAAAAATTACTGTTTTAAGTTTCTTGATCTACAACAGTTTCGACAACAGCAGCAGTAAACAACTCCAATCACAATAAGTAGAAATACTCCAGCAGACGCAAAAAAAATTATTATTATAGCGGTACCATTTACTAAAATAAATAAACATAAACATTATTTAAAAATAATAAAGATTTTGCAAAAAATGTAAAAAAACGAAGAAAAAAACAACATAAAAAAACAAACAAAGAAAAAAATAGAAAAAGATGTTCAAGATAAAACAATAAAAATTATTATCTAACTTTTTTTTATACTGCTTTTGTCTTTATAAATTCAAACTAGACATAAGTAATTGTTAACTTAACAAGTTCAATTTCAGTATTTTTAGTTTAAGAAAATCAAGTTAAATTAAGTTCTAATGGTGTTACCAGGTTGTTACACACAATGTAAAATTGTGCATTATGCTACTAGTTTTTCAAAAAAAAAAAAAACTTTTTATGCATCAAGGTTAAAAACTTTAAAATACTTTTTTCTATTAATGCTTTCATTATTAAATTAAAACTATATAAAGGGTGCAAGGGAAAAACCAGTGATGTCATGTTTTTTTCATTTTGATAAATTTTATTTAGGAATTTAAACTATGCATGCTGCATTGAATACTGGAATAAGTGTCCCTTTTGGACATCACTGGTTTTCGCCCCTTGTAATTTTAGATTTTGATTTAGAATCCAAAATAACGTTCAATATGTTGCTTATATAATATATTCTGATACATATCTTTTGAGTTGAATTTAACATATTTTCAGTTTCAAATAATAGCCACAGTCAGGGTGCAGAAAAGATTTGCAGCACGTTCTGCTGATAAGTTTACTTTATAAGCTTTTTCATAATATGCTTAAAAAAAAAATTTTATTTAATGCATTTAGATAATTCTTATTATAACAGACTTTTTAACCTTCAACTCTATTAACCTTTCACCATCCTAAGGCTAGCTTTCTCATCTTTGACTCTTATTTATGTTATGAAAAATAAGAAAAACTTCAACTTGAAAAAAATAAGAAAAGTACATGTGGGGTAAGTAAAGAAATCAATTTAGAAGTGAAATTTTTCTTTACATTTTAGACTAGAGTTTTACATTTCTAAACTCAATTATACTTTAATATGCAACTTTTTTTTTTAATATAAACCAAGATTTAAAAAAAATTTCCATGTTTCTGTGGGAAGCACTCCTTGCACATATCGTACAATTTTGATAAGTTAAGATCCTCTAGTAAATACAGCTTTTTAGTTTTATGTAAAGCATAATGACTTTTTTGTCCTTTAACTTGATATGATAAAGACTTGATATGATCAATAATAGAATTTACAATATGGTTTGAAAAGGCTAGAGGTGAATTTGTATGTTTTCCTTGATGGTTTTTAGGAGAAACTCCTTAAATAATAATAATCAAATATACAAGCTTAATAATTAATAATAAGCTTAATAATCTTTATTTTGCATTTATTAAAGTGTGAAAGTAAAAACTCACTCTCTTCTACTGTCGTATTCTGAAAACACATAAAACACTTGCAATTACACGGAAAGCCCATTGTATGCGAAGATAATCGTTCATTTCTGCCTCGTTCCCACTTTCGAACAAGTTTTTTTTATTTATTTTGGAATTTCTGTAATATCTGGATTTTGACATTTATCTGCCATTTTTACAATAATAAAATGTTTGTTTTTTTGTAAAACAAAATTTGATTGGCTGTTACACAAATAGTTGTAAAAAGCGCGTGGAGATCTCCGTTTACCCCTTGAACAATTTGGACATATCTGGTTTGTAACCCCTTTTTTCAAATGAAAAGTTAAATATGACCTAACTTTTTTTTTGTTTATATTCATCTTTTAAAAGATGCACTAACTTACCTATAACATAGTAGGGGTAATAACTCAAAAATTGTTAATATGTAACACCACTGGTTTTCCCCTTGGACCCTTCATATATAAAAACCATCTTTAAACTTTATTAAACAAATATTCACATGAGTTGGAATAAAAACAAAAATTGTTAAAATATTGTGACTGATTTGGGATCACTTTTCTGTTTTTTGCAATTTTGACAGAAAACTTGTTTTAGGCCAACTAAGATATGATAATTTATCTTTATTCTTGGTTGTTGAAATTGGGAACACATATCCATGAATCTCTACTTTATCTGATTTTTAAGTCATCTTAGTAATTTTTCTACAAAAAGTTACTTTTTAATGCATTTATATTTTTAAATTTATCCCTTTTAAATGCAAAACATATTATTTTGATGGATGACGTATTGTAGTAAAACTTCATCCTATTATGCAAATGAAAATAAAAAAATTATTTTATATATCTTCAGCTATGCTATCATATATGCATTTTAAAGCGAATGACATGGGTTTACATGCACCTTAAATGGGTTACGTTTCAAGCTATTATCTAAAAACTTACATTAAAACAACTGTTTCAACAAGACAAATTTTCAAGTATAAAATATCAAAGTTATGGCTACTATTTTTTCTTAGGATAATCAGACTATTATACAAGTAAGTTGTTATATCTTATTTTATCAAGTCCATCTATTTGTCAATAAATTTTATTTTATTTGTTCGTATTATGTTGATATCACTTCTAAATATTTATTTGACTAAAAAGAAAATTTTCTTTGTATTGATGGTTTAGAATTTGAGACTTTACATTTAAGAAGTTTTTTAACTATCTTGAAATTTGGGACAATCTCAAGTCAATATGGGCAAAAAGGTATGGCCCTTTTTTCAGGGAAAAAGGGTGGAAAGTATATGAAACTTTATTTTAAGGTTTTGATTCTAAATTATCTGGATCAGTGTATAATTTTTATTTATTTTGTATATATCAGTGTTAGATTGTCATCAGATTCATGATTTATCATTGCCTTTATTCTTGGACATTATATTAACAACATCAAAAGAATTTAATCGTCAGCTTTTAAATTAAAAGCTAAAAAAAAGTTGTTCTTAGGTGGAGAACTTTAAAAAAAAAAGTCACATAACTTTAAAAATATTTGATCTTTTTACTTAACAATTACATAGCTCTTTTTAGGGTTGATGAATCCAATAAAATGATCAGAATTGTAAAAAATTATTATTAAGTACCTGTATTTATCAATTTAAATAAAATTAGGCAATTTTTTATATACCTGTTTTTATTGCCCAAGAAACCTATTCGGTCTTGATAATATCAAAAAAAAATTTTACACAGTCTTAAGTCTTCCCAGGAAAGGCGTGCGGTTTTTCGTCTCGTATGTCCACAAAAACGTTTTTAATGTAGACAACTTGATCATGGCTGTTTGCGCAAGTTTTATTATATGCGTTGCTGAAAAAAGTTTTAAATTTAATAACTACATAAGAAATCAAAGTAAACTTAAATAGAAAACAATAATAATAGTTTAAATAATTTGTGTGTAGCTTTTATTTTTGTTTTTTCTTAGTGGTTATTATTATTGGCAACAAAATTCAGTAAGTCAAAACAAAATTTAAAAAAAAAAAAAAACGGTTTTAAGCATTAAAAAGGATGACTTTCCCATATTTAATGTGTTTTTTCTTTTAAAGAGAAAGAGAAAATATGTATTGCTATCTGTTTGTAAAATATATTTGTATAATTATAATTTAATAAGTTTATATCAAGGTTTAAATTATACGATTGCGATTTGCAAACTCTGGTAAAATATTAGGTCTTTCAATTTTAGTTCATGCAAAGCTGTTTACTTTGTTAATAAGGAGTTTATTAAAAACTATCAAAAGTTTGCTAGCGAAAAAGTTACAAAAATAAAAACAAAACAATAAACTTACGACTACAAAAGTAATAAAACTTTAGTCACTGCATTATAAAAGTAATAAAACTGTAATAGTGTTATTACATTTATAAAGCACTTTTTACTTTTCAATCACTTATTAAAGTTCACTCTATTTAAACACTTATAAAAGTATAAAGTTCATTCTTTTATAAAACTTATAAATTCAAAAAACATTATAAATTCCAAACATTTATTAAAGTAGAAAAGCATCTAAAAAAAATAAAGCGGATATTCAAATATTATTAAAAATTTCAGGAACTTTCACAGATAACTTAAACAATGTTATAAAAAAGTATTTTATAAAAAGTATAGCATTATGAAAAACCTTACGTGAAAATGCGCGTTAATTTTAAAATCAACCAATAAAAAATTATTGGTTAATTTTAAAATTAACGTGGGTTTTTACGCTCCATTAGTAACGTTTTTCATAAAGCTAAACTTTTAATACAATATGTTTTTATAAAGTTATTTTTTTTATAAGTTATTTAAGTTTTAAATATTATTTGAACATCCACTTTATTCTTCTAGATATTTTTCTACTTCAATTAAAACTTGAGATTACTTATGTTGCCTAAACAAAGAATGAATTTTAAAAGTTATAAGTGCGTTATAAAAGTAATAGTGATAAGTCCTTACGGTCTTATCACAAAGCACCGCAGAAGAGCATTTAATAGAAAGTTCATGCCTCCTTCCCAACCGATGTCGCAAAACTTGCCCAGAGGTGGGGTTTGAACCACGGATCTTATGTTTCTGAGGCAAGTACACTACCACTGCGCCACGGCTGCTCGACCGGCTTATTACCTTTGTAATGCAGTTAGTGACTAGAGTGTTATTACTTTTGTAATCGTAAGTTTATTGTTTTATTGTTTTATTTTTTCGCTTACAAATTTAAGTTGATTCTCCCCTTAAAAACAAGGAACACGGTTTTGTATAAACTAAAATTTTGAATACTAGATATTTTTCCAGATTTTCCATATCACATTCGCTTAATTTAACCCTTGTTGTTACATTAAAATTACACAAATAAATATTACAAAAACATTGCAATTTGTATTTTTGCTATCTTGAAAAAAGTTAAGAAAAGAAAAATCATTCTTATTATTGTAGACTTCAAACTGTTTTTTTTTTTTTTTTGCTTTGCCTTATCTAATTTTATTGCTGAATGTAACAACCACTCTAAAGAAACAAAAATAAAAACAGTACACAGCTTATTTAAATTATTAATTTGTTTTTATTTTTTTCAATCTCTTTTTATTTTGTTAGTTTTTTTGTTTGTTTTTGAAACTTTTTCAGCATTGATTATT